ACATACATACATATATATATATATATATATATATATATATATATGGCATGGTAACTACAAACCATAAAACAACAATAGATACACACACAAAAAAGGGAAAGGAACCCAAATATAACACTAAGGAAAATCAAGGGAATATGCTAAAAGAAGACAAGAACAGAGAAGAACTACAAAAACAACCAGAAAACAAGTAAGAAAATGAAAATAAGTACATACCTACCAATAACCACTTTAAATGTAAATGGACTAAATGCTCCAACAAAAAGACATAAGGTGGATGAATGGATTAAAAAACAAGCCCCATCTATATGCTAGCTACAAGAGAGTCACTTCAGAGCAAAGATACACACATTCTGAAAGTGAAGAGATGGAAAAAGATATTCCATGCAAATGAAAATGAAAAGAGAGCTGGGTTAGCAATACACATATCAGACAAAATAGACTTTAAAGAGAAGTCTGTAACAAAAGACATAGAAGGGCACTTATATAATGATAAAGGGGTAAACCCAAGAAGAGGATATAACATTTGTAAACATATGTGCACCTAACATAGAAGCACCTAAATATGTAAAGCAAATATTATCAGACATAAAGGGAGAAATTGACAGTATTAGAAGATGGTAGGAGACTTTAATACCGCACACACTTCAAGGGCTAGATCATCCAGACAGAAAATCAATAAGGAAACAGTGGCTTTAAGAGACACATTATACCAGTTGGACTTAATAAATATCTACAGAACATTCCATTAAAAACAGGAAATTACACATTCTTTTCAAATGTGCACACAACATTTTCCAGGATAAATCACATGCTAGGCCACACAACAAGTCTTAGTAAATTTAAGAAGGCTAAAATCATATCAAGCATCTTTTCCAACCACAATAGTATGAAACTCGGAGCCAATTACAGGAAGAAAAGTGGGAAAACACAAATGTGTAGACTAAACAACATGCTACTAAAAAACCAATGGGTCAACAAAGAAATCAAAGAGGAAACAAAAAATTACCTTAAGATGAATGAAAATAGAAACACAACCCTCCAGAATCTATGAGACACAGCAAAAGCGGTTCTAAGAGAGAAGTTTACAGTGATTCAGGGACACCCCAAGAAACAAAAAAATCTCAAGTGGACAACCTAACTTTCTAATGAAATGAACTAGAAAAAGAACAAAGAAGGTCCAAAGTTAGTAGAAGGAAGGAAGTAATAAAGATCAGAGCAGAAAGAAATGAGAGACTAAAAAGTAGTTGAAAAGATCAGTGAAACTAAGAGTTCGTTTTTTGAAAAGATAAAATATTGCTAAATCTTTAGCCAGACTCATCAAGAAAAAAAAAAAGAGAAGGGATCAAAATAAATAAAATTAGAAATGAAAAAGTAGAAGTTACAACTGATATCACGGAAGTACAAACAATCATCAGAGAATACTACTAACAGTTGTATGTCAACAAATTGGACAACTTACAAGAAATGGATAAATTCCTAGAAACATAAAAACTTATAATAGTGAATCAGGAAGAAATATGGAAAAAGGTATTCCATGCAAATGGAAATCAAAAGAAAGCCAGAGTAGCAATACTTATATCAGACAATATAGACTTTAAATGGAAGACTGTTACAAGAGACAAAGACTGACACTACATAATGATCAAGGGATCAATGCAAGAAAAGGATATAACAATTATAAATGTATATGCATCCAACATAGAATCACCTAAATATATAAGGCAAATATTAATGGACAGATTTTTTATTTCTTTACAGGAAGAAAAAATTCATACCTGGTATTTCTACCTGAAGCAATGACAGAAATTTCAGTATAAAGATGGGTATCCAGCATAATGCATCGGTAAATACAATAAAGAAAAAACGTTTGGCAAGGATCATCTCTTTCCTAACTTGATTCCGTACTTTGGTTGCTGTTATGGCACTTTGATGGATGCTGTAAAACATGCTTCCATATGAAAAAACTATGATGATAAATGCTGCTAAGTTAATACCTATGAAAAGCACAAAGATGATGATTAATAAGAACATTCTTTCAGAACAAGCAAACATACCCTTAGCTGTTATTGTAAAGGAGAAGATACAAAGACCACAATGTGTTTTTTGTTCTTTGTAAGAATTACTAAGGCACAAAAATCATTAATTAAAAAAATTTAAATATTGTTGAAGCTATAAGAATGATGAAATGTTTATTTTTAAAATGGCATATTAAAATTAGATTATAGTAATTCAATGACTATCTTGGGCTTCTTAAATTAATCTGTCTTGTGTTAATTTTTTTGGTAATTCAATTACTTTGTTATATTTTGAGAATATTTTTCACAAGAGGACATACTTGGTTGTCTGCTCCCAAGCCAAAGACTTGTGTGGCTACTTTGAATTTGTTCATATTATAAAGGCAAAGAGTTAAAATATGCTTTGCTTAGTATTATTAGGGTGATTGCATGAAATGCAAGTGTTTAGCATCTTGTCTTTTATTAAAGTGTATCATATAAGAATTAATATGATGAACTGGTAATTTAGAAAAAATAATCCCTTTAGGGGATTCTGATACAATTCACCCTCAATGTCCATTCTGGTTAGAAGATCTGAAATAGAAAGTTGTAAATATTAAAAGGCATAATGAGGTTCAGATTGTGATTTATTCTAGCATTTGAATGAAAGGGCTTCTAATACAGAGTTTCTTACCGAGAAAAATTGCCACTGAATAAATCTGGGCTCCAATACTTTCTGTATCCTCTGAATGAAGAGGGAAGCATACCCCATTGGTGCCGTAGTAGTTTTTGAAAAATTCTTTATTGCTCAGTGGAATGAAAGCCACGATAAAACCGATAATCCAAATGAGAATCAAAACTGTAATGGTTCTGCATTTTCCAGGTCTTAAACATCTGAAAGGATATACAATGCAGATATATTTTTCCACTGTCAGAAATGTTAAAAGTAACACTGATACTTCTGTGGACAGAATGGCTAGGGACCCCAGAAGCTGGCAATGAATACTCTCCATCCACAGCTGTGCATGCTTGTTGTATTCTCCTCGAAACTTCAGGTCAAAGGCTCCGATCACAAACAAATAGATTCCCATCAGGCAGTCGGCACCTACAGGGATCAGTGAATTTCACAAATTTAGAGAAATAAATAGGTAAGATGGAGTTATCATTAAGCAGAATTTTTTTTTAAATTTATTTATCTATTTATTTTTGGCTGCTTTGGGTCTTCGTTGCTGCGCACGGGCTTTCTCTAGTTGCGGCGAGCGGGGTCCACTCTTCGTTGCGGTGCACGGGCTGCTCATCGCGGTGGCTTCTCTTGTAGCGGAGCACAGGCTCTAGGCGTGCAGGCTTCAGCAGTTGTGGCTCGCGGGCCCTAGAACACAGGCTCAGCAGTTGTGGTGCACGGGCCTGGTTGCTCTGCGGCATGTGGGATCTTCCTGGACCAGGGCTCGAACCCGTGTCCCCTGCATTGGCAGGCGGATTCTTAACCACTGCACCACCAGGGAAGTCCAGTTTGAGCATGATGAGCATGATGTTGAGCATGATGTTGGCTATGGGTTTTTCATGTATGGTCTTTATTATGTTCAAGTAGTTTTCTTCTATCTCTAGTTTGTTGAGTGTTTTTTTTTTTTTTTTTCTTGCGTTATGCGGGCCTCTCACTGTTGTGGCCTCTCCCATTTGCGGAGCACAGGCTCCGGACGCGCAGGCTCAGCGGCCATGGCTCACGGGCCCAGCCGCTCCGCGGCATGTGGGATCTTCCCGAAACGGGGCACGAACCCGCGTCTCCTGCATCGGCAGGCGGACTCTCAAGCACTGCGCCACCAGGGAAGCCCTCCAGAAATATTTTTAATATTAGCCCCAAATAGCTAAGTTCCTTCTATCTTGGGGGCGGGGGAGGGAAGTTTTATTCTAAGAGTTCATTTATGGGTAAGGACCACTTCATCAACTCTCCCTGCTAAGCACTCTTACAGCATCCTGTGCAGCCAATTATGTAATCATTCCTCTGTTTTCGTCTAACACACAGTCTGTAAGAGCAGGGATCTTGTCTGTTTTGCTTTCTGTTCTAGTCCCATCACCTAGCAGTGCTGAGTAAATGAGTAAAATGCATGAGCATTCAATTAGGGGCAAGATTGGGATGTTATAATTTGGTTCATCTCTTGCATGGAAATTCTCCCAGCTTAAGAAACTTAAGTCATTCAAAATCCCAGAGAAAGTAATCCAGAAGTTGCTATGACAGAGTAAGGACTATGAATTTTGAGGTCTGTCATTTTGAAGATGTGAATAATTATGAAGTGCTCTGTAGTCAGTATAATTCTGAGGGGCTTCAATGAGTCACCCACGGGTGGTCGAAGCAAAACTGTTCTCTCTGATTCTTTCTTCCCATCTGAACATCTTTCTCTGTCACTTTTCAGACTCCTCCATCCCCCACATCAGCTGTTAATGTGATACACTTCTTGGTGTATTTGCTTTTTAAGCAAATATTACATATCAGAGAGTAGGTGAGTTTTTTTTTTTTTTTTTACCACGCCAGCGTTCTATACAACGATCCTAAAGTCACAGCACGGTATACATCGTAAGGCTGGCCCTAACACCGAGGTTATATTCTAGCCTTTATCAGGGAAATTGAGCAAACTCAAAATTGTGTAGCTAACAATACAAAGTAGTAAACCATTTCTGAGTTCTGTTTCTTGGGTAGCTTGCAATGAAAAGACGGTTCGACATTATACTTTGAGTGAGGGCGAGGGTAAGACATGGCACAGCACTTGTAAAGGAGAACATCATATAGATAGATTCTTGCTTAAGGTAGTATGGGTAAATTATAGGCCACTTGACCAAGATTATAAACACCCTGAGGACTGGTTTCTTGCTTTTCTTTAATTAATTTATTTTTGTATTCCTCATTTAACATAATACCTTGCAAACACGTTTCAAAAACTTAAAAAATGTAATACTACCTAAAACACTTTCTTATTTAAATATTTCAAATTATGAATGGAAAAGAATGTAGAAGGTCAGAGACCAGAAAAACAACGTTTGAAGTCAGCATCCATGAACTGGACATTCAAACAAGAAATAAACACAGCCCTGGAACCATGAAAGGGTCCAATTTGATTATAGTAAAATATTTTACATGCTTTGATAAAATATTATTTTATTAAATAATAAAGATATTATTTATAATATCATAATTTTAAATAAATTATTTAATAATATTAAATTCGCTTTCTTCTTCCTTCAGAGAAGAAAGCAAATGAACAAAAGCTTCTTTATGAGAAAAGAATTAATGAATGAGCCCTTCATTAATCTGTGTAAGGTGACTGAGGTTTCTTATTTTAAAAACTTATTTTCTTTCTTATCCCTAAAGTAATTTTATTTTCATTGTAGCGAACGTGAAAACAACATATAAGCAAAGAGGAGAAAATTTTAAAATCTCATAATTCTACCGCTCTCCTTACTTATTGTCTAATAGCAACGCTTTCATATATTTTGAAACTGTTATTCCTCTTCAGCCAGGAAATACTCACAGCAGAGGGAAATGATCGACATGGCATGCAGCTTGTTCTCAGATCTGATATAAGGTCGCATACAGATGACAAAGATGTTTCCAAAGCACGTAACTGCAGACACAACCCAGACGAATACTCTCTGAATGATGCTCGCCAAGAGATCCTCTAAGGATGAGATTCCATCAGTGTTTGGTTTACAGCTGCGAACATGCGGTGCATAGCCACAGTACTGGAACTTCTTAAAATAGCTGACGTGCAGAGAGAAGGGAAAAGAAGATTTTAAACTGAAGTCGGTGTCGCTCTACATTAATATCTATTTTCTACATTCTCTCAGAAAGAAAACATCTTAATATGAGACTCAGAGGAATGAATGTAAAACATTAGGGATACTGAAGATTTAACCTTAAGTTTAATTCTCATTAACTTGGTTTTTAAAAGAATGTGTGGGTGAGAGCTGCAAAAAGGCATAATAAACATACAAGTGTTAGACATGCCCTAGAATATAAATCAAATGTTAGCATGTGATCAGGACAATCCACCCAAGGAAACTTGTTACTGGGTTTTCAGTGTTTAGTGCATGTGTTAATAAATCAACCGTTACATAACTCCTATGGTTGCTGCAACTGATTTTCCTTTTTCAAACCCAGGGGAAGAGAATTTGTCCTCTGTGTTTCTATGGCTTTTCTAGTATAGAATTTGTGTGATCTGTAGCTACTTGCTAACATGCTTATCCTCACACTAGTGTTTGGTACATAATAGGGTGTTCGATAAATGTGTGTTGAGTGAATTCTTTCATCAGTAGAGAGACCTCCCTTGTTAATAAAACACCACCGGGATAATCAGTAATTACTACTGTGCTGCCACCAACACCAGCACCGTTTATTGAGCATCTTCCAAGTATCAAGAATAACTTCTCAGATCAGCTCCATGAGGTGGATGTCAGTATCACCATACAAGAAGATGACTCTTCAATGGAGGCAAATTATCTGCTAGGAAATTTTCTAATAAATGCAGAAATTAGGATTTAAATTAGATCTTTCTGCCGCTAAAGCGATGTACTCTGGCAAAAAATATAAGTGATCTTTATAGTATAAGGAGTTGTAGTAATATAAGATGAAAACTTGACAATTACATTATATTGTCCTGTTGTTTAACTCTCGCTGCCTGGATCCCAGGATCTGCCATGGTTTCTGCTCAATTCAGTTCTGCTCCTTGTTTCTTGGGTTTTGTGACCTACACCATTTTCTTCCAATAAACTCTGCTTTGCTTAATTTAGTCAGAGTGTTTTTTTTTTTTTTTTTTTTTTTTGCAGTACGCAGGCCTCTCACTGTTGTGGCCTCTCCTGTTGCGGAGCACAGGCTCCGGACACGTAGGCTCAGCGGCCGTGGCTCACGTGCCCAGCCGCTCCGCGGCATATGGGATCTTCCCGGACCAGCGCACGAACCCTCGTCCCCTGCATTGGCAAGCAGACTCTCAACCACTGCGCCACCAGGGAAGCCCAGTCAGAGTGTTTTATGTTGTGTGCAACCAAGGAAAATTTATAAGCATGCTCTCTGAGGAATTATGGGAAAAAAACTCCCAGTATCCTCTGTTAGATTAAAATACAAGCAAGATTATAGAGTGTTGGTGACTGCCATGACACTTTCTAAATTATTGGGAATTAATTACCTTGGCATGGAGACCATTCTAATATATTTCATATATATACTGCTATATATTACATTCAATTAAAGAAAATGTTTCTGAAGCATGTAATTGATGGCATGATGAGACACACTGTTTGAATAAAAGATTTTCCATGATTCACCATTTTATCCATACACCCTTGCACATCATGCCCTGACATTGTGGGCCATTTTCACTGAGGAGGATTTCTCTCTTCCCTTCCTCCATTTACATGAATTATTTATAATTATTTTATGTTGTTTATGTAACTTCATCTGGTCGCATTTGTGCCACGTGTACAAATTACTAGCTGAGTGGACAAACTTGACTATCAGTGAGTGGCATCAGGGCTCGGGAGAGTTTACAAGCCTGGGTGGGTTCCCTCCACACTCCTGCTGTCTGACATTCAGACAAAACTCCTTTCATTCTGCCAGACCACGGAGAGCTAAAAATCACCCCACCCAATACCAACGCTTTAAGAGTTAATTATCATTTAGGCAAATTAATCAGTAGAAAATTGTTAATAGATTGGATGCATTGGGTATGGAGGTATTAGCACAATACATGTGGAAACGTAAAAGACTAAAATCAAGATGAAGAACAAGAAAAAACATCTGCTTACATGTGAGAGAGGTTCGTGAGAGGTCTGAACATCCTTTGTTGGATATTTGAAATTTCATTTCCTTCTAGGCTGCTAAAAATATCAAATTAATTATCAAAAAAATATGTTATGCAGGGTATAATAAAATGAGTTTTTGTGATGGACAGTTTAATAAAATGCTGTTAGTTAACACTTATTTGGAACCAAACATTCATACTTAACCTTCCCTAGGCACTTCCCCAACTCCTTTAAACATTTTTTTATTAAAAATTTTTTTTTATTGAATGAAATATTCGTTAAATTCTACAGTGCTTTACAATTTTCAAAAGTTTCACACACATGATTTCATATGATCCCATAATAACCCATTTTTTTCTCCCAATGCCTTTTTGATTCTGCTATTTATGTATATATCCTGCTTATTTGAATTTTTTGGCTTCGAATAGAGTGGAACAATGTTTTTTGCATAGTAACTACTCAATATATATATATTTGAAGTAAATGAACAAGCATCTTTTAGACAATATTGCAATAGAGGCATTTCACATTCTTGAAGTTTTTCTAATAATTTTAAGTAATGTTTTTCTAATAAAATGCCATTTTACTGAGGGAACACTTAAAAGAACTGAAGCTTACCTTCTTAAGGCAATTCTTAGACCCTAACATAATTTGTGTGTGTGTGTTTATGTGTGTGTGTGTTGCAAGTAATGACTTATATCATCTAGAACATTCCATCTTGGGATAACGATGGTTATAATAAATTCTTAGATACCCAGTACCAATGAAGGAATAAATATGCATAGATGCCTTCAGAGGATCAAGCAAACAATCCAATATAAGCTCCTGGCGATTACAGAAATATATGAAATGATTAATCATTATCTAATTTATGGCTTATAAATATGAAAGATTAAACTAATAGCTATCTGTTTGTAGCCCAGCAAGCACTCATCTTATATGTTTTTCTGGAGTTTGACCAATATCCTGGGACTAAAGCTTCTGATTTGAGATCCTATCAATCTTATTTTATAGAATTTATTAGCTATTAGTATGTAAATAAAAATTACATCATAAAACTATCCCCATAGGTGTATACTTACAGAGACTTGAGTTTGACAAGGTAATCAAATTGGTTTGCTTGAATTTTCTGGATTGGGTTATAGGAAAGATTCCTGTTTTAAAAAAAGAGCAGCAATAGGTCAATTCTTAAAAAGTATTTGAGTAAAGAGGAAGTGTGTCTCTTGACTTAGGGTTACTTTTAAACAGTAACAAAAAAAGTACAGCAATGTCAATTGACCCCTAGGGCTAGTTGGACATTCAAATGGATTAATGGAAACAGCACTCTTAGGCCAGTGCACGGCTGTCAGTAAGTGCATTAATGACAGAGCTGAGAGAACGTAAGCGCGAAGGTGGGGAGGTCCAGAGACGGTCCCACCAGAGGAGCAGCAGGGTACCCAAAGGGAAGCCACACCACTTCAGGTTTTGCCTATCATCAGGTGTGGTTTAAATGAAAGAAAGAAGAATCTCATTTCGTCAAAACTTGAGTTAGTGAAATCACATTGAATGCTTTTTACAATAAATCATGTCAAAGAGTGGCATATTGTGTTAGCAATTTGTGAGGCATGAAATGAAAAGTCAAAGGCTCTATAGTTAGAAACAAAGAAACAGAGGTCAGAGTGACAGTGTAGCTGAGTGTAAATGGAGAAAATTTCAGAATCTTTGCAAAACAACACCTTGAAACAAGAATTGTTGATTAAAGGGACCTTCTCAGGGCAGGTTCACTTTTTAAGAAATTTATTGCAGATTAGACCATTAGTTGGGTGGGGGAGGGGCAGTGACTACAGAAAGAAGGGAAGAGAGGAAGGATGACAATAAGAAATGTGTTGTATAAAAGAAGGGAAGGGGACTCAACAATCTATGAACAGAAGGAAACGACCTTAACATAATAAAAGCCATATAGGGAAGCCACAGCGAGCATCATAGCCAATGGTGAAAGGCCGGAAGCTTTTCCTCTAAAATCAGTAAGAAGACAAGGATGCCCACTTTTGCCATTTCTATTCAACATACTACTGGAAGTCCTAGCCAGAGCAATTAGGCAAGAAATAAAAGGCATCCAAATTGCAAAGGGAGAAGTAAAATTATCTCTGTTCACAGATGGCATGATTTTATGTGTATGAAACCCTAACGATTTCACACACGCATACACACAACAAAATTGCCATATGTGAAACCAACACATAATAATCAAACAATAATCAATAATCAAATGCATTTCTATACACTAACCATGAGCAATCCATAAAGAAAATTAAGAAAATGATTCCATTTACAATAGCATCAGAAGAACAAAGTACTTAGGAATAAACTGAATAAAGGTGAAAGACTTGCACTTTGAAAACAAAATGTTGCTGAAAGAAATTAAAGAAGACATCAGTTAAAGAAGACATTCTGTGTTTTGGGACTGGAAGACAATATTGTCAAGATGTTAATACTACCTAAAGCAATCTACGATTCAGTGTAATCTCTGTCAAAATCCCAATGATCTTTTTTTTTTGCATAAATAGAAAAATCCATCCTAAAATTCGTGTGGAATCTCAAGGGAACCTGAATATCTAAAACAACCTTGAAAAAGAAGAACAAAGTTGGAGGTCTCACTTCCTGATTCAAAACTTACTACAAAGCTACAGTAGTCAAAACAGTGTGGTGCTGGCTACAAGATAGCTGTATAGAACAATGGAATAGAATGGAGAGCCCAGGAACAAGCCTTTGTATATATAGTCAAATAATTTAAAAAATGTGCCAAGATTGTTCAATGGGGAAAGGACAATCTTTTCAACAAATAGTGCTGTGAAAAGCAGATAGATATCCACATAAAAAAAAAAAAAGAGCTTAGACCCTTAGCTTCCACCATGTACAGAATTAACTCAAAATGGATTAAAGGCCTAAATAGAAAAGCTAAAACTTTAAAACTCTTAGAAGAAGTCATAAGAGAAAAGCTTCATGATATTGGATTAGGCAATGACTTCTTGTATATGATACCAAAAACATAGGTAACAAAAGAAAAAAAAAAAAAGAATTGGACTACATCTAAATCAAAAACTTTTGTGCATCAGAAAACACTGTCAACAGAGTGAAAAGGCAACCTACAGAATGGGAGCATACATTTGTAAATCATATATCTGAAAATGATTTAATATCTAAAATATATACACTCCTACAACTTAACAACAAAACCCCAAACAACCCAGTTTAAAAGCGGGCAAAAGACTTGAATAGGTATTCTCTAAAGAAGTTACATGAATGGCCAATAAGCACATGAAAAGATGCTCAACATCATTAATCATTAGAGAAATGCAAATCAAATCCACAATGAAACACCATTTCACACCCATTAGATTGGCGATTATCAAAAAATATAAAATAACAAGTGTTGTTAAAGAGGTGGAGAAATTAGAATCCTTGTGCACTGATAGTGGGAATATAAAATAGTGTAGCCACTATGCAAAAGAGTATGGCGTTTCCTTTAAAAATTAAAAATAGAGTTGCCATATGATCCAGTAATTCTACTTCTGGCGTTATATACCCAAAGAATTGAAAGCAAGCTCTTGAACAGATATTTGTACACCCACATTCATAGCAGCACTACTCATAGCAGCTAAAAGGTGGAAGCCACCCAAGTGTCCACCAATGGATGAATGGATAAACGCCATGTGGTACTTACATACAGCGGATTATTATTCAGAATGATAATATTCAGAACTTCTGACACATGCTACAACCTGTGGATGAACCTTGAGGACATTATGCTAAGTGGAATAAGCCAGTCATAAAGGGACAAATATGTATGATTCCACGGATTTATGAGGTACTTAGAGATGCCAAATTCATAGAGCCAGAACAGAGTGATGGATGCTGGAGGGGCAGGGGTTGATGGGGAGTTAGTGTTTAATATGTAAGGAGTTTCAGTTTGGAAAGATGGAAAAGTTCTAGAGATGGATGGTGGTGATGGTTGCACAACAATGTGAATGAAGTTAATGCCACAGTTGTACACTTACAAATGGTTAAAATGGTAAATATACATACTTATGTATATTTTAATCACAATTTTTAGAAGTAAAATAAATTAAAAAATAAAGATACAAAATTCGTATCAGTCTTACAACTGTGAGAGCTCCTTCAGATCCTTAAAGACAAGTGGTGAAAGATTTTCAATCTTATTACTTCCTAAATCCCTAGGGAAACAATTGCAAATGTCATATTATTTCCTTAAGACTTTACTCATAGTTCTGTAATTTATTAAAAAACCATTAGACAACTTTCAAACAGTGCCATTAGTGAGTTATATTAATTAATAGAAGTCAAAACTTTAAAAAGGGAGTGAGATGGTAAAGATAAAAATATTTTATCCCATTTTATTGCTCACTCAGAGACAGTACTTGGTGGTATTTGATCTAGTTCTAATAGATACAACTTTCTAATTCAATTAATATATGTATTGTGCCCTTCGTCCTTTCTCTTATTCCTCCCCTCCCTCCCCCCTCCCTCCCTTCCTTCCTTTGCTAAAGTAGAAATATGCTTTTGAACCTTAATTTTTTCCTTTGCTTGGGTGTATTATAATTTTCAACTGGAAGTGGATTATTTCAGTTTCCAGTTTCTTCCACAGCTGATATACACCGGGTCTCATACACACCCGGGGCAGGATATTTTGTATGTTACTTCATGTACATATAGAGGTTGGGCTGCCTAAAGTGGTATGAACTTGTAGCTTAGTTGTGAGAAGATTTCGGACAGTAGCAGCTCTTATGGTAGCTTTGACAGTGGCAACTCTCATGCGAAAGCCCTCAGATTCTTCTAAACAAGACAATCTTTCAAAAGGCTTGAGTTCTTCAATGTCATCAAGAGATACTAAGAGAAAGCCTAAACACTTTCCCTGTCCACCTCCAAATCCTATTGGTTGCTACAGGGAGAAGCATGGGAATAGATCTATTTGTTATTGCAGTGCTTATAAATCAAAAGTTAGGTTATTCAACTTGGAAGGGCAAGATAGATTTAGACTGAGTTTTTAAAACTAAAAAGTAGCTAATGTAATCAATACTATAAATGTCTTTGCTGTAAATGTTTTATTTTTATACTGTAAACTGAACCTTGAGGCTGTTTTTGTTATTTATGTTTTCATGGGTGAACTGTCTGTGAAGATAGATGGTCTGATTTGACAACAAAAGGAATGTTTCTAAAATTTCATCCCTTAAAATCCTTCAATAGCTCATTGTTGCATAGAAGATAAAATCAAAACTTCTTAGTGTGATATAAAAAAGCCTTTAAATATCTTGCCACTGTCTAGCTTTCCAGCTCAGTTTCCTACCACTGTCTACTCAGTCAAAATGACTTTCACCAGGGCCTGAAGGCATCTCAGTATTTCAACCTCCGGGTTTTTGCACGGGTGCTTCCTTCTGCCTGGAATAAGCTTTGATTCTTGTCCTTCTGGTGAACTCCCTATTCATCCTTCAAGATTCTGCTCAGATAAACAACAAGGATTTACTGTACAGCACAGGAACTATATTCAATATCTTGTAATACCCTGTAATGGAAAAGAATCTGAAAAAAGAAGGGGTATGCATAACTGAATCACTTTGCAGTACATCTGAAACTAACACAGTATTGTAAATCAACTATACTTAAAAAAAAAAAAATTCTGCTCACATGTCACTCCTCTGTGACCAGGGAGATTAGGCGTTCTCTATTCTCCCGTATGTAGCATGGATGACACATACAGCACTTATAACATCATATTAAAACTGTTTCTGTACATACATTCTCCTCTTCTGAGGGATGTGATCTCTTTCATTGCAAGCCCTGTACCTATTCATCTTGGGTTCTCCAGCATCTAGCTTAATTTTTGGCTAGCTATTCTTTGTATCCCTACCTAGAAGACCATTAACAGACTCGACCTGCTGCATATTTAGGTAAAAGTGGCGGCACAATTCCAGTTCTTTGTATGGGAAGCCAAGTAAAAGACTGATCATGTTAGTGAGGCAATGTGAAAAACAGATTTAGAAGAGTCCACTAGGATATTAAATCTTGAAATATCATGTTCAGCTGTTTCTGATGGGAGTGCTGTTTTGGCTATTAGAGCCAATTCTGACATACAGTTCTTTTATCATGAATCATGTAATGGGAACCATTTGGCCTAGACCCTAAGTGATGTGTAAAAAGACCATTTTCTCAGTTTCGTTTTAGGAAAGTTGGTCTAAACTTAACTGGACTTGAGGTCCATTTCTGAATGGGCTCAGGAAACACATTATCACCTAGAGTAGTTGACTTTAAAAGGACAAAGTAAATCAAGCATGTAGCCAAGAGTTTCTGCCATCAGAACTGTTAAAGTCTACTGTGAGAAGTCAATCCTGATTATTGCCAATTTATTTGCCCTCATTAACTCTGTCAGTGGGATCAAGCCAGGAGGGGCACAGAGTGTAGTCCAAACCCTCTCTCAAAGGGAGAGTCACTCATTTGAGGTCTAGACCCACCCATTTAAAGCCATCACCTCTTAGAAAACATGCCATTTTCATCCCTGTAAATCCGATTTTTCAAGCCAGCGTTGGGTATGGAATTCGGCAGGGTTTAAGCAGGACTAATTCTTGGCCTTGGTGCCCCTCTCTGCCCCTTTGTTGCTCTTTATCTCTGAACCTGCATTAGCACTGGTTACGGACTAAGCTGTTGTGTTTCATGCTCTCTACTGGTTACTGATACTTAGAACCTGCACCTCAGCGCCACCATGCAAGTCAGGACTGGCAGAAATTACCTTCTGGTATTCAGATCGCGGTGGCAAGTAGGATAAAACAAGGAAAAGTATGGACCCCTCGACTAGCTTGTATTTTCATGGCTAGATACTACCTTTCGAGTCACCTACACGCACCTCTCCCTACTACTGAGAATAAAATAATTTCCTATGTGTTGATGGTATGGTTCACTTGCCAGACACTGGGAGCTGTAACAGCAGGTGCTTGGTTCTGATATCTATTGAGATTTTCTTGTGCGTTTTGTGAATGATTGGTACTGTCTACTGAAAAATGTTTCAAGCTAATGGTCATGGAAAAACGTTGGGGTTTCAGTGGCTTGTTTATTGATGTTTTGGAGCAGAATGCTGCATTGGTTCCCGAGGAACGTTTCTGTCTGTGGCATGTGTATTCCCTCCACCTGTCTCAGTTTGCAGGTGAGGTGTCCCGAGAAACAGTTTAGTTACATTCTTTAATTTTTATGGACAAGTTTTAATGAATCAAAGTTCTGCCCAGTTAATTGTCAAACATGTACCTTCTGTCCATACTCCAGATTCTTTCTAGAACTCACAAAATCAAACTGGTGGCTAGCCTAAACTTTAGCAAAAACCCAATTGAAGAAATTAATGGTAAAAAATAAAAAATTGTCTGAAGGACATGCACTTCATTTGTTGTCCTGTGTATATTTTATTTGGACAATCAGCTCATATGTGCTTGGACCACAAGGCTTTGATTTATCAGAGAGTTGTCTTAATGTCCTTTGGAACTGTGTCATTGATCTTAAAAAAGGGACATTATAAATAGCTCTCTTTCCATTATTACAGTCTGGGATGTTACCCATGGTAGTGTCTAATTTCCTTATGGATCCAAGATTATCCTTTGGTTTCAGAATCAGCAGAGTGGTGTCTTTTTATCTCCTGGTTTTTAAATCCTAACTCTCCAGGAAACTTAAAGATAAATTTGCTATACCTCTCCAGCAGTGGGTTAGAGTTGTGCAAGATGTATTTTATTTACTGACCTCCCCAGACTTTATTCTTTCTCCACAGCTATGTTTCCCTTACCTCACTTTCCTCAAATATTTATTTTATAGTTTTCCTTTACACATATTTTTTAAACTATCAGGATTCCTTTGTGGCTCAAGGTATGCAGAAATAGTGCTAGGAAGAGAGAAAAATAAATCTTTCTTAAATGTGTAAAAATGTATACGTGTGACAACTATGAACTGGAACAGTAGAAAGAAAATTCTCATCAATATATGTGTAATCGAGCTTACAATTCATCTAGTTTCCGGAGCGGTGCAAACGCGTTTTCACTGAGGTGATTAATTTTGTTTTTCCTCATTACCCTGAAAGTAAAAAGAAAAGGACGTTGTAGCTTCCAGAGGTAACTGATAGGTGAGTTATTGGAGAGGAGATTAACAGCCTGCAAAAACAAGGATAATTACGTCGAGTGCACTTTTCACATCAAGACAGGTTTAAGTAGCGTGATAAATTACCCAGAGTCTCTAATAACTTTAACCTTAAATTTCCCAGATCTTTCAATGGTGATAAAAGTAAAATAAGGTTCAAATTTCTAAGTGATTCAGGGAAGAGCTCCACAGGGGAAGAGTGAAAAGCTCGACTCCTGAGAATACAGACTGAGCGTCAGCCCAGGGAGCTGTCTTAGGGTCGCCTCTGTAGGCTTTACGGTGTGTCTGTCGAACAAAATACCTCCCACACAATAGCACTGGTGCACATTGGGCAGTTGATGTGATTTAGGGTGGAGATGTTGCAGGAGGTCTACTTCAAGCTGGACCAACTCAGAAGATCTCTAGTTTGGGATGCGGAATGAGACTGTAAGTCCTGACAGTTCATCTCTGCCCTGATGTCGTGTTATGAGATAGCATAAAGAACTAACTCACAGGAAACCTTTAAAAGATTTCCAGTTCTTGAGGCATTGTGGGACATGCCTGGAAGCTGGCCTCGTCCCATCCTTAAGTATTTATTTCCTCTCAGCACTCCAAACCGTTACCACTTTCTCCCAGCATCCTTGGACCAGAAAAACAAAAGCATCTGCGAAGAGGAAACTCACGAATGATTTCTTCATACAGAGGGTTCTCTAAAAGCAAACACAAGTAGAATAGAAAAGAAGGGCTACATTTTTTGGATACTTATTTGGCCTGTGTCCTTTTAGTGCAATTTGGTTTCCTTTGGGCAATTACCATGAACTGTTTTGCATGACTGATAGAATCCTGCATCTGAAGACTGCTAAACTCACTGCAGAAAAGTTCACACATTTCAGTGGCTTTGAGCCCACTGGAATGGGGCGGAGGGCATAACTGGGTAAAAATTTTTGTTGTGTCAGTGGTAGCTATTGCATTGCCCGTACACCGGGGTCCTGTATATTCTAGTATGATGATTTTCAAACTTTTCACATGGCAACCGACAGTAGAAAAATGCATTTTGCATTGGGACATAATATACACCCACACAACCCAAGATTCATGGAACAATACATTTAATCATCTAAATTGCACTCTGATGTCTTTATTCAATTCAATTCTATTCTTTTTCATTTAAAAAATGCGGCTCGGGACATACTACATTGCTTTCATCACCTGCTTGTGAGTTTCAACCCACAATTTGAAAAATACTCTTCTGGAAGAATAAACTGCAAATGAGGCAGTTATACTTTTATACTGAAGGAAGCCCCAGTATCCCTCACTGTTATGGAAGAGGCACCCTGAATTTAAAATAAGCCAGAGAGGAGTATAAGGAGAAATTATACTTGATAACATTCTAAGATTTATCCTGGTGTCGGCAGTTACATCCTCAGGGATGTGAACATTCTACAGTTTCTAAGTTATAGTTAATTTCCCCCACAATCTTTGCAGTAATAATTTTTATAGATTAGGACTTTAATTTGGTGTTTCTCAAACTGAGATCCAAGGGCAGATTCTAGGTGGTTTATGAGAAATTGTTTTTCCATTAAATTGGGTCTTACTTGTAAGGTTGAGAAAAGCAGGTCTCACGTAAGATAGTACCATTGTGATGACCCGTGTATGTTGTGAATCTGTAGTTATGCCTGGTTTGAACTTCGGTAATTTTGCCAATGTGCTTCCTTTTCAAAAAACTTCAAGTTGAGAGGGAACATTTGCTGTAATTTCTATGCATGTTTATACTAGATTCTGTTCGCATAAATGATTCATTTTATTTGTAAAGAGATAAAATGGTACTTCAAAAGGACAAAACATTACTTACAAAACAGTTAAATTACTGCAGGAAATAAAAGTCAAATTCCTTAAATTATGGATATGGTTGCCTTCAAAGTCCCTGAAATATAAAAATGAAAAATGATAAAGCTAAATTTTAATCACACACAAAAGTCAGTCGGTTAAGAATGATTTGTTTTCTAGTAAAATATCCTTTCCCCACGTACTGCTGATTTCATAGGGATTCTCACATAATGTAAGCATAGCCACTTACGTAACAGCCGAAATGATATATTTATATATAATGTTTCTTTTTTTTCTGTGTTAATAGTAAAAATGTTTTGAGTTGCATAGGTATGAGGTGTACATATGTATCCTAAGGAATGTGAAGAGAATGAAAAAAGGCACATGGAAAGCTTTTGTTGTGGTAACTACCAGCTATATAAACAGAAAGCACGTAGTGATCCGCATTAAACACCCGTCCAGAGGTACCACTGGCTTTCTCTGAGGGGAGTGACTCTATCTGCTACAGCCCACAGAAGATTCTACTATTGCTGCAGAAAATGCTACCGCAAAACAGATGTTTAACCTCTACCTCCCTTGCCTAGACACTCCCAGAAAAGATTCTCCATAGCCTTTTACCCCTGAGAACATGCTTTCTTGCTTTATTATATGGCCACACAGGCCAGTGCAGAGGGAGACCCACAGCTGCCCTTGGCTCTCCACTCCCACCTCAGGGCGCTGCTTGCAGACCTGACTTGAGCTCCCTTGCTGTTTTATTGTCTCTGCTTCCTGGTTTTCATGAAGGCGTTCTTCTATTGCCTGTCTTTTATCTTGTCATAGGGTTTATGGTGGAAGTTCATAGAACAGAGTTAGCCGAGCTCAGGGATACACTTTCAGAAGCAGATGCTGGCTCTTAAATCTACTCGTTTTACCCCAGCACTTAGCTTACCAGTCACCATACCACGTAAAGCCATTCAGGAACAATTGCCACTAAAATATATGAGCTGAAGTCTGACACAGCTACAAAATCTATGCAGGAAACATGAGTAACATTAATGGACATGCCTATTTTTTCTGCTGGAGAGGCTGTATCTGGGACAGTCAGTTTTATTTTGGCACTGCAGTAAAAATGGATGCTGACAAATCAAAGTCGATCTGGAAGATCTGGAAGGCCTGCATGTAACGGTTCTAGAAATCAAGTCAATGGACTAAAAGGGTGTTTTTATCACAGAGAAGAGCAAAGACGAGAGATATATTTGAAGTCAGGCATAGGGCTTTTCTGTGTTGCATCAGACTGCAAAATCAGATTTACTCGTTGAAGGACACAAAACATTTCAAATTTAAGCTCACAATCCATGGTGTCCGGAGAGTAAGCTTCTTATTACTATAGTGATCTAAGAAGGGCATATACTATAACAGGTTTTTGTAGACAGGATTTCTGTCCATATGGACTGTTGTGTTAAAATCTTAAATCTTGATTCTAGATCAACCTTCTAAAGAAATACTTCTATTATTCTATTAAACTGGAAATAAAGCACTTGTAGTACTATCTTTTTTTTGATCATTAGGCTTGGCCAAGGCTTTTGGCCTTCCATAACGAAGGTTATTGACACAGACTGCTCTATTTCCTTTTCCTATTTTGTTGTTGTTACCAGGAGTCTACCACCAGGGGGTGACGTTCTCCTAAGCCTCACAAAATTTCTTGATGTTAGTTTCCCGTTAGTTACATCTGTAACTTTTTTTTTTTCTATTAAGGTAGCAAAAATATTTAAGTTAATATTAATTTACTATTTGTAAAAGTCAGTAAGAAGCATAAACTAGGGACTTTGGATTAAATTGTTAAATTCAAAGTTGAGTTTATTTTAATCTTTATTTGTGAATTTGCTTTGGCTTTCTTCCTAAAATTAGAGGTTTTAGTTCTTGATATGCAGGGGTATGGCATACAACTCTGCTCCTTGTGCCAGGGCTCCAAGTTCTAATGGACCTGAGGGGATGTTTTGCTTCCTTAATGCCTGGATCACTTTTCCAACTTAATGATCCTCTGAATCTAACCACTTTATGTTTCCCTCTATACATGGCAGAACTGGCTGAAAATGAAAATTTGGTTCTCGGATCTGAAGAACAATACAGAAAATAAAAACACCAAGAATCTTGCCCTGTCAGTTCCCTCTCTCATCCCCTAGGGGCTTTTTGTAAACATGCAAATCTCCTCTCCCTCTACTTCCGTACTTTTCTGGCTCCTATATCTCACAGAGAAAATTGAGGTGATGAAGGAGGGGAAAGCCTTCGCCTTTCTGCCCGACATCTGTGATTTACCTTTATGTGCACCTGGTCTCCTACACCCAGGATGCGATGACCCTCCTTCTGCTTTAGGCTAATCCCGTGTTTTCTGAGTTTTGTTTGTGAACGTGTATGTCCTAAAATACATGGTCAATTCTGGTGAATGTTTTTTGGGCGTTCTTCACTTTCAGTTTATATCTATTAAGATTAAGCACAGGTACATAGAACAGAGACCCAACTACAACAGCATAACTACACAAGGATTAAAAAAAAAAAATCTAGGGTTAGGTAGTCCAAGGCTAGTCTGGTAATTTTACCAAGTTGTTAGAAACCTAAGGTCTTTCATATTCACTGTCCACAGGTCCTTGTCTTTGTGTTCCAAGATGTTGCTAAAGCTTGAGCCATCATATCCGTCTTTTCTGGATAAGGAAAGAAAGGGAGGTTCTGCCTGTTTCTCTTTAAGGAGGTTGCCCAGAAGTTCCACGCTATACGTCTTCCTCCTTATTAATTAGGGCTCGGCCACGTGGCTCTGTCTAGACGTGGGGAAGTCTGGGAATGTAGTATTTTAGCTGGGCACTTTGCCGCCCCAAATAAATCTGTTCTGTTATCAAGAAGGGACTTTGCACTTTGATATGTACCAGTTAGAGTTAATTCGTTAACTATGTTATTTAGTTCTCCGTATCCTTTTTTTGGTTTTCCTTGATCTTTCATGGACTGAAAGAGGTGGATTATTATTTCTTACTGCATTTTGGTTGTTATATGAATCTATTTGGTGCATATATATATACTCCTAATATAATATCTTGTTTTGGAAATTGCACACTACAGCACTTAAATGTCCTTCTTTGTACTGCTTAATGCAAATTGGCCAAACTTCTACCTACTTAGATAAAAAATGATGCCTACTTTCTTTGGTTTGCATTTACATGGCATACTTTTGAGCAGTCTTTTTTTTTTTTTTTTTTTTTTTTTTTTGCGGTCCGCGGGCCTCTCACTGTTGTGGCCTCTCCCGTTGCGGAGCACAGGCTCCGGACGCGCAGGCTCAGCGGCCATGGCTCACGGGCCCAGCTGCTCCGCGGCATGTGGGGTCTCCCTGGACCGGGGCACGAACCCGTGTACACTGCATCGGCAGGCGGACTCTCAACCACTGAGCCACCAGGGAAGCCCGAATTTTTAATTTACTCATATAAATATTAATCAATTTTACTTCATTATTAAGTTTGGATCACTGAGCATGTAATAATCATTAGTGAATTCTTTCGAGCCCAAATTTGATCACCACAAAGAATATTGCACTTAATTTGCCCTTTCCTTGATGACTTAGTTCGTCATTACTGAGGGTACTATACTGTCATATCAAGATGCCCTCTGGACTTACTAATGATTTGGGGGATGTTTCTCTTACCCTAGATGGTTGCAAACCAGTGTGTTTTGAGTTACTCTGTCTGCCTTTTATAGCAATTCTTGCTCCTGCTTTATTATCAGGTTGCTAATTGTTACTTACTGAAATCAACCTTTCTAACTCCCCCTCCTACTTTTTTTTTTTTTTTTTTTGTGGTACGCGGGTCTCTCACTGTTGTGGCCTCTCCCGTTGCGGAGCACAGGCTCCGGACGCGCAGGCTCAGCGGCCATGGCTCACGGGCCCAGCCGCTCCGCGGCACGTGGGATCCTCCCGGACCGGGGCACGAACGCGCGTCCCCTGCATCGGCAGGCGGACTCTCAACCACTGCGCCACCAGGGAAGCCCAGCCCAACTCCCTCCTACTTTTAAATGGGCTCTTCTAGACCTTTGTGAGCTTAGAACTCCAATGACCAAACTTTTGGGAATTCCCTACAAATAAAAGACAGAGGGAATTTTCGTATATAGAGTATATGCAGGTTATTGACTGAACATTTAAAGAAATATTTTGGATTTATTTCTTCATTTTTGCCTGTATTTTAAATAGACACATTTACTGGGTAATTAAGTTCTGCATAAGTAGAGTGATGCTAATTACCACAAACAAAACTACTGTGTGAAAAACTCTGTGGAACATATTCTGTTGTGATGAGACTTCAAAAATAAAGTCTAAGTATCATAGTCTTATTACACAGAATTTAGCAATGAAACTAAAATGGCTTAGTCTCTCTGTACCAAATGAACAGGTGAACAGATTGACAGGGAGAAGGGGTGATGTTACATAGATATCATAACATCCCTTCTGGCTTTCTTCTTCCTGCCTCCAAAGTATGTTTTGTGTTTTGGAGATGTTTTATTTTGGTAAGAGTTAAGAGGAGTTAGTTTAGATAATAGGGATGTTTAATAAGAAAATCATGCTAAAAATATTAACAACTACCATTTGAAAAAACCTGACATCCGAAATGAACTAGGCAAAACCAGAAAAGTGGGCTTCCCTGGTGGCGCAGTGCTTGAGAGTCCGCCTGCCGATGCAAGAGACGCGGGTTCGTGCCCCGTTTCGGGAGGATCCCGCATGCCGCGGACTGGGCCCGTGAGCCATGGCCGCTGGGCCTGCGCGTCCGGAGCCTGTGCTCCGCAAATGGGAGAGGCCACGACAGTGAGAGGCCCGCATAACGCAAGAAAAAAAAAAAAAAAAAAAAAAAAAAAACCAGAAAAGTTAGTTGTCTTCTGTAAGAAGAGATAGAGAGAGCCCTCCTACACTGTTGGTGGGAATGTAAATTGGTGCAGTCACTCTGGAGAATAGTAGGGAGGTTCCTTAAAAACCTAAAAATAGAGCTACCATATGATCCAGCAATCCCACTCCTGGGCATATATCTGGAAAAAACTCTAATTTGAAAATATACATGCACCCCTTATGTTCATAGCAGCACTATTCACAATAGTCAAGACATGGAAGCAACCTAAATATCCATCAACAGAGGAATGGATAAAGAAGATGTGGTACATATATACAATGGAATATTACTCAGTCATTAAAAGAATGAAATAACGCCAGTTGCAGCAACACGGATGAACCTGGAGATTATCACACTAAATGAAGTAAGTCAGAAAGCAACAAATACCATATGATATCACTTATATGTGGAATCTACAAAAATGATACAAATGAACTTATTTACAAAACAGAAAGAGACTCACAGACATAGAAAACAAACTATGGTTACCAAAGGGGAAAGGGGGGGAGGGATAAATTAAGAGTTTGGGATTGACATATACACACTACTGTATATGAAATAGATAACTAGTAAGGACTTACTGTATAGCACAGAGAACTCTACTCAATACTCTGTAATGACCTATATGGGAAAAGAATCTAAAAAAGATTGGATGTATGTATATGTATAAGTGAATCACTTCGTTGTACACCTGAAACTAACACAACAGTGTAAGTCAACTACTATATTTCAATAGATATTTTAAAAAAGAGGAGATACAGCAACTTACAGCCAGTGCAGCCTGGGCATGTGCTGACAAAGAGGTTTGTCAGGCAAGCGGGTAAGCATGTTATTCATCAGTGCTCTGAAAAAGAGAAACAAAAAGGAGTCTCATTTTTCTTTCTTTTCTCAACTGAAGTCAAACGTGGTTTTATCATTATTCTTATGAAGCCGTGAACATCTACTAAGTTCGTTGTCTTCTCACTCAAATTTTTTCTGTAAGTCTTGATATATTTAAGTGCTTGTTAGTAATAAAATTAGACAAACGGTAGCCATCATATGGAGGAAGCAGTAACATTAGCAACTGAAGAAAAGTCCTGTGCCCTTCGGTAGTGGGTACTGAAAAGGAGGTGATTTTAAACAAACGTATTTTTCTTTACCAAGATTAATATATAGGGTAGTACTGGTGTGCTTAAGAATATTTCAATAAAGCATGGCAGTGGGACTGTGTTCAGTTTTGATGGACTGACATTCTAGAAGATGGAAGATCTTATAAAACTGTTACAACTACAAAACAGCCTCATAGGATATGACTAGGAGATGGTTTTTAGTTAAAAATTCCCTTTTAGGGTTTTAATTCCAAACGTCATGTTGTTAAACCCAAAGCAGTAATTTTTATTCATGCCTTTTCTTTCAGTTGAAATATTTGCATAAATTTTAGTACTTACAGGAGAATAAGAGAATTTAGTCCATAAAATGTTAGTGGGGAAATTCGACTGAGATGATTCTCTTCAATTATCCTGCCAGCCAGAAGAAAAAAATGGGTTCATTTACATATTTTTCAAACATAAAGGCTAGTACTATAAAATGCCACATAAATTAAACATACAGCCACTCTAGTCTGTGGAGATCTTCAAAAACACCCGGCTTCAAGAAGGTTATTCTGTTATGACTGAGATACCTGAAAAAAAAGAAATAACTACAGTAAATTTGATACCTTTTTGATATCTTATAACAAGGAAAGGAAGAACAATAATTATCCATCTTAAATTTTCTTTTTTCTTTTTTTTTAAGGTATACAGCATAATGATTTTTTTTTAACATCTTTATTGGGGTATAAATGCTTTACAATGGTGTGTTACTTTCTGCTCTATAACAAAGTGAATCAGTTATACACATACATATGTTCCCATATCTCTTCCCTCTTGCGTCTCCCTCCCTCCCACCCTCCCTATCCCACCGCTCCAGGCGGTCACAAAGCACCGAGCTGATATCCCTGTGCTATGCGGCTGCTTCCCACTAGCTATCCGCCTGACGTTTGTTAGTATATATATGTCCATGCCTCTCTCTCGCTTTGTCACAGCTCACCCTTCCCCCTCCCCATATCCTCAAGTCCGTTCTCCAGTAGGTCTGTGTCTTTATTCCCGTCTTACCCCTAGGTTCTTCATGACATTTTTTTTTTCTTAGATTCCATATATATGTGTTAGCATACGGTATTTGTCTTTCTCTTTCTGACTTACTTCACTCTGTATGACAGACTCTAGGTCCATCCACCTCACTACAAATAGCTCAATTTCGTTTCTTTTTATGGCTGAGTAATATACCATTGTATATATGTGCCACATCTTATCTTATTTGCAAAGCATAGAGACATGGACGTAGAGAATAAACATATGGACGCCAAGGGGGAAAGGAGGGCGTGGGATGAACTGGGAGATTGGGATTGACATATATACATTATACTGTGTATAAAATAGATAACAAATGAGAACCTGCTGTATAGCACAGGGACCTCTACTCAATGCTCTGTGGTGACCTAAATGGGAAGAAAATCCAAAAGAGAGGCGCTGTATGTATACGTATAGCTGATTCACTTTGCTGTACAGCAGAAACTAAGACAACATCGTAAAGCAACTATACTCTAATGAAAATTAATTACAAAAAAGAAAAAGAAAGGCTCTTCTTAACTGAGCCTTGGATGAGGTGTATCATTCACAAAGCAAAGCGTGGGTGGGGGTGATTCCAGGTAGAGGAAATGGCTTATGCAAAGGTGAGAGGTGTGACGGTGACAAGGTGAGGGGTCACGGTGAAGAGGCTGTTAGGGGATGCAGGAGATGCCCCTGGAGGCAGGCATGGACCTGCTCTGGAGAAAAGACACTGAAGGCCTTGCTGGAGAGTCAGGCCCATTGTACTTTGACCCGACTTTACTTCTCACTCTTCTGCAGAGTGAACAAACTCTTCCTTCTGTTGTGCTGATCTCTTACGTGTTTATTTCTTTGTTTTCTTCCAGAAGCAAACACCAGCTTTTAACAACTTTCAAAATCACCTCTCTTCTTTTATAGAGCCCTTATTTATTTTTTTAAAAAATTTATTTATTTTATTTATTTATTTTTGGCTGCGTTGGGTCTTCGTTGCTGCGTGCAGGCTTTCTCTAGTTGTGGCGAGCTGGGGCTACTCTTCGTTGCGGTGCACGGGCTTCTCATTGCGGTGGCTTCTCTTGCTGCGGAGCATGGGCTCTAGGCGCTCAGGCTTCCGTAGTTGTGGCTGGCGGGCTCAGTAGTTGTGGCACGTGGGCTCAGTAGTTGTGGCACACGTGCTTAGTTGCTCTGCAGTACGTGGGATCTTCCTGGACCAGGGCTCAAACCTGTGTCCCCTGAATTGGCAGGCAGATTCTTAACTACTGTGCCACCAGGAAAGCCCTGGCCTTAGAGTCTTTATGTGGCCTTTTTTCTTTTTTTTTTCTGAAGAAAACTTTTGGACACACATACAACCACACACAGCCCAACAGAAACTGGTAAAGAAAGGGAAATATTTGGAAAACTCTAATTCCACTTAACTTTGTCCTTTTGGTTTGGTGAAGTGGAGGTGAGACTCTCAAAATACCCAAGGTTGCCAATGGTAGCAAAAACACTAGACTCAAATGTGTGCAAAATTCCTTTCCTTCCATTTTGTCTTAAAATGGCAGAGAAATTGTCTTGCGTGTTTATTTTTGTCTCAGTTTCTCTAATGCAGCAACTCACTGCTCTGAATCTGCTGTCAGACAGTTTGGTTCCTGGCTTTGCTACTTGTTAATAGTGTGACCTGAAACAAACAGCAACTTCAGAAATCCTCAGTTTCCCCTAAAATGGAAATAACATCAGTACCTAATTCATTGGGCTGCTGAACATTTGAGCCAGGCATGTCAGGAACACTTGGTGCATATTAGTAGAATGAGGTCTCTGTTCAACTTCCCACTTCAACTTCTTTCCTGTTCTTTTTCCTCATTGCCTATGATTCTCATGTGAGTATTGGTTCAAATTCCTCTTCCCCTGATACACGGACCACACTGATTTCTCTTTTTGCTACTCTGACAGATCTTAGAGCTGACATCCTATAAAATCTGTCCTTCCAGGAATCTCCCCTTCTCCATCAGATTTGACTTTTCTTGGGGGTAGCAAAGGATAAGGCCCCATATCAGAGCCACTTCCTTCCCTTTCAGGCCTGAAGCCCCAGTTGGGCACAGGAAGATGTTAAGAATCTCTTCAACACTTGCCCTGAACACCTCAGGGGGTCCCTTAAGAGCCACTAGAAATCTTCTAGAAAGGTACTTGATCCACCCCCCATGCCCTGTGCTGTCTGATTTGCCCCGTTGTCTTCATTTTTCAGAGTCATCCTTCACTGCTCTGGACCCAAAATAATCACTCCTTTTAGGGAATCATCTTAGCAGTTGTCTGAACAGCATAGGTTTAAGTCTTAGTTAAGTAAACTCCCTTGCCATTCTCTAGCTGTTGTGTGTATGTTGGCATTGTTTCCCCACCGTAGACTGTAAGCTTCCAGAGAGCGAGTGGGTGCCTCTCCCCGGTGGAAGCACAGGGTTCTACCTGCAATACTGGGTCATAACGAGCTAGAGGTAGCAGGTCTGACTTCTCTTTCTATGCCCCCCACGGTGTCTCGCTGAAGACCTTGCACACTGTGAGGGGTAATGAGTGTCTACGGATGAATGAAGAGCAGTATCTGATGTTTACCCATGAAAGACCAGAACCGTGTGACACTTTAACAGCCAGACAACATTCTCATGCCAGGAAAAAACCAAGGCACAGATGGAAGACACTTAAGTTTACTCTCCAGTCTGTACCATCTTTCAAGAGCCTCCTGCACATCCATTGAACATTAAACCAAGCAGATGCTGTTCAGCAAGTTTTGAATAGATTTGTGAGAGGCTGTAGAGAAAGGTAGGCAGAAGCATTATGGGGACGACTCCAGTATTGACTTTGAGTAATTTGCTAACACACGAAAGAGCAGGGAAGGGATAGACACAGCCACAGGGGTTACTGTTAAGACTTTGGGTCTCCGGTGACCTTCTCTGCTAGTAAATGATTAGGTGGCCTTCTTTTTTTTTTTTCTTTTGCGGTACGCGGGCCTCTCACTGCTGTGGCCTCTCCCGTTGCTGAGCACAGACTCCAGACGCGCAGGCTCAGCGGCCATGGCTCACGGACCCAGCCGCTCCGCGGCATGTGGGATCTTCCCGGACCGGGGCACGAACCCGCGTCCCCTGCATCAGCAGGCGGACTCTCAACCACTGTGCCACCAGGGAAACCCTAGGTGGCCTTCTTGACTCAACCCCAAACTGATACAGCCAGTGAGGAATCTGACCGGAAAGAGTTTCTTGGGTTAAGGAGTAAAAAACTGGGGTAGGATAGAAGGCAAGGGGCCATAAATAGAAATACAGGGAGTTGTTTATTAATGTGATTTTTGGGTTATATTTCCATTCAGTAACCTCTAGGTGGTAAGTTTCAGCTGCCTGGTAAAATGCAGCTGAAATGGAATGGAACTTTGAGAAACACTGTTTTAAAAAGCTTAGCTCTCAACCACAAGGAGACGTTACTTCACACCCATAAGGATGGCTGTTACTAAAAACAACACAACACAAAACAACAACAAAATCCCAGAAGGTAAAATGGTGCAGATGCTGAGGAAAACAGTATGGTGGGTCCTCAGAAAATCAAACGTAGACCTGCCATATGACCCAGCAATTCCACTTCTGGGCGTACACCCAAAAGAATGGAATGCAAAGACTTAAATAGTTGTACACCAACGTTCATAGCAGCATTATTCACGATAGCCGAAAGGTGGAAAAGACCTAAATGTCCATCCATCAAGGAATGAATATAGAAAATGTGGTATTATATATATATATATATATATATATATATATATATATATATATATACACACACACACACACACGCACACACACACACACAATGGACTATTATTCAGTCTTAAAAAGGAAGGAAATTCTAATATATGTTACAACATGCCTGAAACTTGAAGGCATTATGCTAAGTTTAAGACGTGATGAAAAAGACCTGTCACTAAAGGGAAAATATTACCTGATTCCACTTCTGTGAGGTCCCCTAGAGTAGTCAGATTCATAGAGACAGAAAGTACCATGGTGGGTGCCAGGCCCTGAGAGGGGCCGTGGGGAGTTAGTGTTTAGTGGGTGTGGAGTCTTAGTTGGGAAAGTGAACAGTTCTGGAGATGGATAGCTGTACAACAGTGTGAACGTACTGAACGCCACTGAACGAAACCCTTAAAGAGGATTAAAATGGCGAATTTGTTATATATGTTTTACCATAATTAAAAAAAAAGCTTTGTTCTTTTAAACTTATCGTGCTTTATGTGTTTGTAAAAGCAGAATTAGTGGGAAAAGAGTAACTGGAGAAGTCTTTGGGTTTTTTCCTTCATAAATTTTAATCATCACCAGGCTTTCTCACGTTGATAAAGTTCATTCAATCCTCACTCCCGTCACCACGGCTAATGTATATGGAGTTCCTACTACGTGCCCATCACAGTGTGCCCAATTCTTCCCACGGATTTTCTCATTCATTCCTTACAACAATCCTGAGGTAGGTACTGTTGTAGTTTGCATTTTACCGTAGAGGGAGCTGATGCTTAGAAAGGAAATTAAGTTCTCAAGTTCACACACCCAGTGAGTGGTGAGGTAGGACTGGGACTGCAGCCTGTGTGACTCAGGGTCCCATGCCCTTGGCCCCAATGCTGTGCTGCACCGTCCGCTGTCTGCATGTCCCGTGGGCACTGTCGTGGGCGGGAGGGCCGTGTTGGGTGGGATGGGTCGGGCTGGCAGGCCACCACGGACGGGCAGACTAATTGGCGCTGGTACTTACAGTTTAGTAAGACTGTAGAGTCCTCGGAAAGCATAGACAGATACGGATCTAATCTTATTGTTTTGCAGGCACCTGTGAAAATGATTATTAAAAGGAACACGTGAGGAAATGTAGTTTCAGTTTTGCAAGATGAAAAGAGTTCTGCGGATGGCTGATGGTGATAGCCCTGCAAAGATGCGGCTGTATGTAAGGCCTCAGAACGTACACTAAATGGTCAAGCCAGTACATTTTATGGTGTGTGTATTTTACCACAATATCTTGTGATAACCTATAATGGAAGAGAATGTCAAAAAAGAATACATATATTTATACGTATATGTATAACTGAATCACTGTGCTGTACACCTGAAATGAACACAACATTGTAAATCAACTATATTTCAATAAAAATTTAAAAAAAATGAAAGAGGAAATGTCAAAAAATTCTTAAAAATTAAAAAAGGTAAACATAACAAAATAATTTAGCAGAGCTGGGTATCATGTCATTTTGTTTTTTGATTAAGTTCACACATGGTTAGGCTAGTTTTTATTTGGAACTTCTAGTTATAAAGGTAGACACATGAGAGCTAAAATTTAATGTTTAAATTTTTAGTGAGTGAAAGTTCAGTTTTAGTGTATGGTAATGCACTCACTAATCAAACAAGCCTAGAAGCCTTTTTAACTTTTTAACATTTTCTGCTATAGTTCTACAAACTTGACAGTATTCAACAGTGTTGGCAAAACTACAAGGTTGTGACATCGTTAAGACCCCAAACCATATTCCATGTAAACCACAAACTGGCCAAGCAAGTCAACTTGAATTGTATTAGTTTGACACCTAAGTTTCACTCCAAAAACTGTTTGAGGAAACTTACCAACAGTATATATGACAAAAGAGAAAAACAGAAATAGAAAGAATCAGGTCGACCGAAAAGATTGACAATATTCCAGAATGTAGAGGGTGGGACAAGTTTTAGGGGAAGCATATATTAATATCTTATTTTTAGCCTGGAAGAGTCCCCAAACTTCTGAAACCAGAAGTATAATGTTTGCTAAAAGAAAATTTCCAGGAACAAGAAGTAACAACAGTAACATTTGGTTTTCATATTAAAAAACAAACAGCAAAAAAGGATCAGGTCTAGAAGAAGACAAATTTGCTTGGAAGGCCAAGGAAGTATGCTGGCTGCGGAGTTCACTGAGGTCATGCTGGAGGTTGGGCCTGGAGTTAACAGGAGGTCAAAGGAAACAGAACCTGGAGCACAAGCCGTTGCATCCCACACACCCATTTAAGCTCTGCACATCTACGTACAATGGCCCCAGGTTGTGAACAAGGGCAAAAGTAAGGGCTTCAAGTCTTATTTCTTCTGCTGATGCAGGTCAGTCACCATTGTTCTTCAGGGTTTGCTGAGTTTATGTAAAATTTTCACAGATTTTAGGAGTGATAAGGGATAAACCAGTATGAGCCAACTCTCAGTTAATTAGAAATTTTGACTAAAGGAGAGTCCCTATTTCTCCAGCATGCAAGAAACCTAACTTTGATTGTAAAATGTTAAGTTTGTTATACACCTAACATTCTCACAGAACATGCTGTGGTCCAATCGTTTACTAGGCAATGCATCTTTCTCATTAATAAACAGAAAAACTTTGACAAGTATTTATTCATTTATTTCTAACTACTGTAATTTTCCATTAAGCAATAGATTATATTGCCTGGAGGTGGAGCCAATCACCAATTAGAACTTTTTTGGTAATTAGGCTATTTTGATCTATTACTTGGAACAAATTGGTTGTTCAAGAATTAATTCAATGTTCACTGTGTAAAATTGCTAAACTATTGAATCCTGATGTTTAGAGTTGAAGCCCCAACTCCTTTTAAACCATGTGGACATAAGGTGGTGCTACAGATCAGAAAAAATCTTCCTACCCCAGAAATCAGAAAATAAAGTAAGGAAGTATCCTCTTGAAGTTTGTATATCAGGTTTAATTTTGAAAAGCTCTTTTCACTTGATTGATAAATGTCTAGAATACAGTTCTGAAAAGTCATTTTTATTAGAATTTAATTTTCTGATGTGAAATATTTTTCTGCAGGTAATCCGAGCTTTGAGAACATTTCATCAAACAAAGTGCATAAATTTTTCTTCTGATTCTGCTCTATCTTTATTATCTTAAAGAAAAAGTACAGATAGATGATACCTATATACCAGGGGTCTCTAGCGTAAAAACAAATCCCAAACCAGTGTAGGTGTGAGAATGAAACTGGGAATTCTGAGACGTTTTCTAGATAGTGTGATTCAGGCACAGAATATTTAAACCCAACAGTTTAAGCCTATGACAATGTGATTTAGCCACAAACTTGACCTAAATAACAGATAACCATCCCCTGGGCCATTATGGATTCTGTGAGTACATAGGTAATCTTAGACTGAAGAGAAGCTAGCATTTCAGATAAAACTCAACCAATGAGGCAGATGTGAAAATGGAATTAAGTCCCTAAAAAACATACTTGGAGGTTTCAAACCACAAGGACTTTCTATCTTAGGTAGAGATTGAGTTTGCAAACATATGGAAGAAAATTCTTCTCTATCTAATCTTTTTTATTTTTTAACGTTTATTTATTTATTTGGCTGTGCCAGGTCTTAGTTGCAGCACAGGGGATCTTCGTTGCCATGTGCAGGATCTGTAGTTGTAGCATGTGGGATCTAGTTCCCTGACCAGGGATCGAACCTGGGCCCCCTGCATTGGGAACGTGGAGCCTTACCCACTGGACCACCAGGGAAGTCCCTTCTCTATCTAATCTTGAGGGCAGCTCTGGTAAGGGGTCATTACATCTTTCTGTAAGATGGGCATTAAAATGCACAGAGTAAAACCTCTTGAGTATATTCACTTGGGGGGAGTGTGGTTGGAGGGTTCATAGCACACATACTCTGGTTTCTTTGGGGATAGGTCTCTGAGATTTTTCTAGGATAGTTTCTAGAATTACTCAGGAAAAAAAATGTTACCTGGTAGTCTCCAGCTAATGGCTAAATAATTCCCCAAAGAGGGGTTAGACTTAAGCAGTGGTGCAGTGTTTGTCTCTGCAGAAGTGGGAAGAAACAGATATGCCAAAAAATGTTAGTCAATTCAACACTAAGAATTAAAATTTTCCTTACAGCTTCTGAAGATCATGGTACTTCTTAAAGCCATCAGGAGGAAGTTTTCTTATTAAGTTCCACTTGAGTGACCTGAAATAAATGTAAATTTTGGTTCTTACTTAAAGGTTTTTTCTTTACTTTTAACATTATGAATAATTATAAACTTTATTTACTTTAACACTAGCTTTCAGGAAACATTTTGCTTCATGATGTCACTCTTGTATTCATAATATCATTTAAAAAATTTTAAAGAGATTTTATTTGAGAGGTATTTTTATTTTTATTTTATTTTTTTGTGGTACGTGGGCCTCTCATTGTTGTGGCCTCTCCCGTTGTGGAGCACAGGCTCCGGGCGCCCAGGTTCAGGGGCCATGGCTCACGGACCCAGCCGCTCCGCGGCATGTGGGATCTTCCCGGACCGGGGCACGAACCCGTGTCCCCTGCATCGGCAGGCAGACTCTCAACCACTGCACCACCAGGGAAGCCCAGCACATACACTTGATTGCATCTTTTGTTTAGATAAAATGTGGCGATACTAAATACTTCATAAAATTGTTATGAGGGGCTAACTAAATAAGTGAACATATAGAATAATTTAGAGTCAGACCTATCATGTAATAAATGCAAATAAATGTCAGCCATCATTATAACTGACCAAGGAACAATGATATCATCTTAAGTGACAATGCATTATTAATAATGACAATTACACCTGAATTATGATACAATTTTACAGGGGCTGTTCCGGCTGTCAGGATGAAGCCATTCTTTTCTACTTACATTAAAGTCACATTTGAAGAAACTGATGGAACAGCTCGTAAATTGGTCTCATCACAATCAAGCTCTAAACCTCGGCAAAGACATTGCATGGGCACAGAACCGACCACTGAATAAAGAGGAAGCAGTAAGGAATGGGGATGATGAGGGACCAGGAACAGGAGGGTAACGAAAAGAAAGAAACAAAAAGTTATAAGAAAATCATATACAAAAATGTGTCATGTCTTACGTAAGCAATTTGTGCAAAGCTTTAAATTAAGGTTCCAAAGTTTTGCTTTTAACATTAAAATGATGCTAGAACTTGAAGATAAGGAAACATATACATTTACCAGCCCATGCATTAAAAAAAAAAAAAAAAAAAAGCAGCCTGTGCCTCTCCATTTGTTGCAAAATGAATGAAGTCATCTGCTCTTTCTTATCCTTGGAGAGTAGCTATGTCCCAGGGTGACAGGACAGGGTGTGATGGGCGTTAATGTCCATATTAAAGCTGCTGTTTAAGAATAAAGTATTAATAGTTTTAATGGAAGACGAAGCCCTTTTTAACTATCAAGAAAGAGAACTCAACTCTGAACTATAGTGCTGGGAGATTTTTTTTTTTTAATTCAGGAGTTCTTCAAAAGACTTCTTTTGGCTTATGTAGGGATGTAAGGATGCCTACAGCTTCACTTGAGGAAGTGAATATTTCTTATGCATAGCCATTCTGTTCTCACTGATGAGAGTTGGAAAGAGAGAGGAAATGGAATGTATGCCTTTGACTACCTTGTGGGGCTATAGCAGTAGTCTTAAAGATGTCACCTGATATTTCTAAAGTCTGTTAGAGACTTGCAGTGGTGTGTACATGTAGCTAAGCAACGAAATGGGATTACTATTCAGAGTAATAGACATCATCTGACTGCTGACTTGATGGGGAATGGACGATTCCTGGGAGCAATGAGGTGTGTTCTTTTCTACGTTTACTTTGAAACTCTGCACTTAGAACAGAGGTTACAGCCTCGAATATCTACAGGGGCAGGCAAAGCGGGTAGAGACTGCACCCAGGAGTCCCAGTGGGACAGCTTCTCTGAACTGTTGTCCTATATTACAACAGGAACATCTGTAGCCAAGTCAACCAACTTCCTCAAAGAAGCCAGAAAGACAATGTTTCGTACTATATAATTACCTACTTAAAAATAATAATGCCTAACTTAAAACATTTTAAATCATCATAGGACAAACAAAACTTCTTGTGAGAACTGTTTGCAGACTTTTAGTCTATAACCTTTACAGTAAAGCTTCTGAAGAGTAGAAAATCATCGTGATGGCAAAGCAGGCACGCTGAGGCAAAGCCGGGGGATGACAGAGATGCACACGGGTGGCTCCGGCCTTGGAAATAGTCACGTGTCTTTGCTCAGATATGAGGCCACAGGTGTTTTCCCTCGCCTCCCAAATAACTCTGCAGACTCCCTACAGGATCCTGAGAGCTCACGATCCATCGTAATTTAGGTTTTGTGTGTTTTGTAAACAGAGTCTGTGCCAAGAACTTTAAAACAGGTTTATGGTTGTAAGTGACCATTCTGGCGATGGAGCTCTGGAAACTGATTCTCTCTCTCTATCCTCTGCTAATGTGAATGTTGTGGGGAAGGGAGGTGCAGGGTTAGGATGGAACACGAAGGTCCCGAGAGGGACAGTATGAGAGGTAAAAATGGAGGGCGGTGAAGTTGGCATTAATCCAGTGTGTCTTTTCTATTATGCAGACTGAATTCAGATAATCCATATATGCTGATTACAAGGTTACCTGTGATAGGGAAAAATGAAAAAATGACACCTAAATATCCAACCAGGAAAGAAGGATGAAACAAATTGTCACTTATAGAGTATTTTGAAAAGTTTATAATATGGATACCTGATTATGCTAAAATGCTACCTGAAAATATGATAAGAATGTATTGCATAGAAAATTTCAACTATGTTAAAATAAAAAAAGATGAGTAATGCAACAGCAAGTTAATGCTGGTAGCTTCTGAGTGGTGAAATTATGGCTGAGTAAACAATTCTTTCCAAATCTCCATACTTTCCAAATTCTTGAAATTTAAATTTTATTAATATATTGGTTAGTGATGGATATGTTTTCCATGATATTTTTCTTGAGAGGTGACTTTGTAACTGTGAATTCCTCACATTCTTTCATCCAGCCAAAAAGTATTATAAGCCACTTTCAGTTAAATTTCCAATAAATCCTTATTATAATCTGATTTAAATAAAGCAGTACAAAAAAAATAACAAAGCAGTACAATAGGAACCTTAATTTAAGTTTCGCCCCTTAATTTTATGTTACACTTCCCATTTCATTTTTACACTGCTTTTAAGCTTGAAAAAAGACATTGAATTATTAATTACCACCCCTCCCCCATCTTTCTTGAAAACACTAATCAAAAATTATATATTTGTTCATTACTAAGAACTGATAAAACGTCGCCTTTCTATTTTTTGAAACTTTTTTTTTTGTGTGTGTAGCTGCATTCCTCTTATGTAAGTATACTTAGGACACATTTCTCCCAGAGTTCATCATCGGGCAAAAATTTATTTCTCTTGCTAACTTGATCTGTTTTCCCCCTTTGTTTATTTTTGCTTTACAGACCAGACTATGAAAAAGTTATGTAGCCCATTATTTTTCCTCTTTGACCTAATGACTACAGAATTGAGAACTAGGCAGTAACTTTTCTTAGTGAGGATTTCCTTATCTAATTTTTCTTCTCCATTCCTTTTCCCACTCACCATGGAATTTTTGTCTCTTATGTCATGTTAATGGGTTAAGTCTGTTCGTAGCCATATTTTTATTGTAAATTGCCTAACATCCTTTTGGGAATAACGTGAAATATAAAAAGATTAAATTAAAATGTAAGAAATGAAAAGAAAAGGATGTACAATAAAACAAGAAAATAAAAACTACATTTTGAGATCATATGGCTTAATCCATTAGTTTTTTGCCTTGTATTAGTAGTTAAATTATACCTGTTAACTTTTTCCTTTCCCAAAAGCTTTTAGCTCTTTAATGATAAAGCAGTCTGATCTCCATATTTGACAAGAAGACAACATGAGGTTGAGATAGATTGCTGAGTGACCTGTGAGACTTACAGGAGGGATGTATACCCCCTTAAAGTGGGGATTGCTAGCAGGTTTTTTTTAGTCTCTTTTGAGTAATGAAGACAAAAAAATATTTAAAAAATTTTAAAAAGCTGTACTTTACAATTTGTGGTAGAACATAAAGGGAAAAATACAGTGAAGCATCCTTTTCCCCAACGCCTGCTTTTTAACCAAGGTTTTGAAAAGCTAAGATTAAAATTACAACTTTAAGACACACATTTACATTTGAATAATTTATTGGAATAGACAACATTTATTTAAAAGGAATTATGTATATAGATCTTTTTGATCTTAAAAATTATAGCTTACCCTCAATGTTATACCCTCCTACAGACCCTTTCCAGGGTTTTTGTAAGTTTTCGGTATGTGACTAAAAGTAGCCGATTATAATTAATACAGCTTTTTTGGTAGCTGTAAGGTATGGCTTAGACTCCAGAAGCTTTCTCACTTACAAACGTTAAAGTCCAAACAGCTTCTCTGCTCTTCTATTTTCAGTTTCCTTTATATCAGAGTTGCTTTTATATCAGAGTTTATAATGATTGTGAAAAGGGGGCATGAAAAATAGCAACCCCGATGGGCTGACATTAATTTTGTTCACAACAATTCCTGGCATGATTTATTACTGTTGCACTTACGATCCTTGAGTGATCTTAAAATAAAATCCTCAAATTAAGGCTGCGTGTCTACTAGAACATTATAATTTTGCAAATAGAAAACTATAAATTTTTTTAAATGTTGGATCCAACTTTTAAGAACATGGTGTCTTACTATGAACCTATAGACAAGGACCGTCAGTCCCTCTGATTACTTACAGCATTCAGATGTTTCTGCCACAAAAGGATACCAGGAAGTCATTTTGTAGTAATTGGCAAAATATTTGTCAAGTTGCATAGACCATCCATTGTTGTCACCTAAAATAAAGATCACAGAGCAGAAAAGTTCAAGAACAGAAATATTCTGTTGTGTTGGGGAAAACAGGTCCTCTCTTTAAAATAATTGAATGACCTATATGAGAATAGAATCTAAAAAAAAGTGGACACAGGTATATGTATAACTGATTCACTTTGCTGTACAGCAGAAACTAACACAGCATTGTAAATCAACTCTACTCCGATAAAAATTAATTACAAAAATAATGAGTGATTGACAAACAGAGGAATGTCATCTGGGAGCTTGTCAGCAATGAGAATTTCTGGGCCCTTCACCTAGAGATCCTGATTTCATAGGCCTGAGTTGGGTCCCGTAATCTCCATTTTTACCAGGCATTAGAGGTGATTCTTCAGCACGTAGTGTTTGTTTGAACCACACTTCAACAAGCGGAACTTTTTAAAAAAAAATTTTTATTTTATATTGGAGTTTAGTAGATTAACAATGTTGTGTTAATTTCAGGTGTACAGCAAAGTGATTCAGTTATACGTATCCATATATCTATTCTTTTTCAAATTCTAGTTTGAAATTTAGTAATTTTGGTTATTACAGAGTATTGAGCAGAGTTCCTCGTGCTCTACAGTTGGCCCTTGTTGGTTATCTATTTTAAATATAGGAGTAACAAACAGTACTTTAGAGGTACTGAAACACAGCACACTATTCTTAGCATCTTTATTATAAATCCCTCAGTCTTCTTCAATCCTGTAAATTGACGTTGGACATGGATGTATTAACATGGGAGATGGATGGCCATGATTGTTAAATAGAAAAAGAAAAAAATAACATGACCAGCACAATCTCATTCTTTTTTTGTTTGTTTGTTTTTTAATGCATTGTGGTATCACAGATCATGTTGAGTGATTATCCTGAGTGCTTACATACTTTCTCTTCTATATTTTCTGACTTTGATATTAGACTCATCATTTTTTAAATAAAATGAAACAAAAACTAGTAAAAATCTTCATTTGGGGGGGAAATTTTTTTTAAACAGGTGATAGAAATGATAAAAGTTTATCCTATTTCTTTAAGTTACTATTAAATCTGGCATCTATTTTATGTTATTTCTGCCATGTATGTATAATTCAAACCTGAGATTGAGTCTAGATAGTACAATTTTGTTTAGTTATGTGGATTTGGTGAAATTGACTTAACCATATCCATGGTTTTAACTCTTATCAGAGGATTTCCAAATTATATTTCCAACTTGCACCTTATCTTGTGTAACATGGGATCAGTTCACTACAGGCACCTCAAACACAACATTCTCCAAAAGGAACACATTATCTGTCTCCATATAAACTTGCTATCCCTCCTAAATTCTCTGGATTGGTGAATGGTCCCTACAATCTATCAAACTGCTCAAAACAGGGAAGTTGGGCTTCCCTGGTGGCGCAGTGGTTGAGAGTCCGCCTGCCGATGCAGGGGACACGGGTTCGTGCCCCGGTCTGGGAGGATCCCACATGCCGCGGAGCGGCTGGGCCCGTGAGCCATGGCCGCTGAGCCTGCGCGTCCGGAGTCTGTGCTCCGCAACGGGAGAGGCCACAGCAGTGAGAGGCCCGCATACAGAAAAAAACAAACAAACAAACAAACAAAAAAAAAACAGAGAAGTTAAGTTTTTTGGAATATGCTCATATCTGATTAAATATAATTTGTACAATTTTCCTCCATCTCCATGTTATTTTCTTATTTTTTCATGGCTCATTAACTCTTCCATGAAGATTACATTTGGGGAAGGAAAGGTATTCTAACATAAGTGCTATGTATGCTTGTAAGAGTATACTTCCTATTAAAGTCCCACTAAAAACAAACTGGAAAGAAGATAGACTATTTGAACATTGTATTTATAGCAGTTTCCATCCTTTAGTATTACTTATTAGTTTTAAAACTTCTTTATTACAGAAGGTTTCAAAATAAACACCAGTAGCAAAGTAGTATAATGATATCTCAAAGATATTATTATATCTCAATGATATCATTATGATATCTCAGAGATGTCTGATGGACCTCAAGTTTACCAACTGCAGATGTCAGCCTGAGACTCCAGCTGAGAGCCAGTAACCGGGTGGACAAGAGAAGCACCCCATAAACAGCAAATCTCAGCTTCTGAACACCCAGGAAACAGGTCAAGGTGCCTCTCTGACCCTTGACATGGTAAAGAAGGTGGCACCTTAGGCAGAGTAAGAGGAGGAAGGGAAGGAAATCTGAAAGAATGGGCTTGTTCAGGCAAATAGAGATGGTAGCTTGTTGCCACTGTGGGATTTAGTGCATGTTTGCTCTCTCTGCATTCTATCTTCGGTTTAGAATGCTTTCTTGTTCTTCAGAAGCTGGTAACTTAGATCTATGTTGTCCAGACCCCAAGCAGCTCAGGTTCTTGTTATAGAAAAGCATCTACCAAAGGGACTCACTCCTGCGAGACTGGAAGTTTGTAGACACACCCGTCTTGTGTGTACCTAGTGGAGGTGGGGCAGTTATCGTGGCCAGTCTCAGGTTCCAGCTTCCTGGGTGAAGAGCTGATGAGCAGTAGTAATGGGGCAGATGCTTGCAACTATGGTGGTGTTTCCCCCACCCTTGACTCTTGCTTCTATTGTCTTTATAATGATTCTATAAACACACTCTTCTCTGTATGAAATCTTTTTTCTTAAGCAAAAGCAAAAAAAAAATCTAGAGTGGTTTCTCTTTCCTCCTTCCAGAAGGGATTGCAGATAACAGAATCTCAAGGATAGTAAGGTTGGGCTGTTTATCTGACCTGGATGGTTTTGAAGATAACGGTAGTCCTGTCACCATTACAAAATGGTACTTTCATAGTTTATGGCACACAGCAACCAAAAAAAGTTGTTTCAATGATCACTCTTGGCTTCCTGGATTATGAGCCTCTTGGAAGCATAGACTCTGGCAAAGTGGATGCTATGGTAACTCATCAGAAGGAAAATGAGAAATGTCAAGGGCTGTGGAATGAGATGACTATGGAGATGGCCCCAGAGAGATTAAGGAAAGAAAATGACAAGCTCAGGGTATGATGTCATCAGCTCAAGAAAATTGAGAGAACCAGGGAGCCGCCATGACTACCCTAAGATAATCTTTTATCTCTTGGGACCTCAGGACTCAGATAGAATCTGATCCAATGGGTTGCTAAGGTTACAACATAAGCTGAATTCACATTTTGTCCTGTCTTTTAAGTGCACATTAGGACACTGATTTGGAAAGAGAGGGACCCTGCGAATTGTAATGGGACTTTTGAATGTGTTCAGTTGAATTTGCAAACCCTAAATCCTCATCCCACTGAGCCTTCCTGCCCAGCATAAATGGGTCCCTTCCCCTGTCTGACCAGGTTACTTTTTTGTTGGAGGCCTGCTAGTTACTTTACTTGACGAAAATAACTTGTCAACTCTCCTAGTAACTCTATTTCGTCATTATTGTGAACTCTACTTACAGATGGAAAAACTGATTCTGAGAACTTTAAGTGATTTGACTAAGAAACAGAATTATTAAAAATAACCAAAGAATTAAAATAATACCATTATTTTAATGTTTTCTTTTCTAGGTCCAAAGATGATTGAATCAGTTCATATTCCTCTTATAGAAATTCCAACTTTTATATGACATTGTCTTTAAATATTTAGCTGCTACTATCTGTTACCTATTTATTGTTCTATTGCCTGTTTCATTTCCATTCTTGAGGCTCTTACATCAGCACTGTGTGAATTATATAAAAAATTATTTAACAACCAGAAGTAGTTATTAACTGGAATTTAAGTTCATCATTATTATTATCCATGGATCAATGGAAGTATTGTGAATCATTTGTAAAAAAAATTTAAAAATAAATTAATTTTCATCCTAATCTTATGAATTTTTATACATTTATAAACGTTACAGATGAAACACGTGGTAAGAGAAGTCTTTTGGCTCTGGGTATGTTGAGGCACTGATTATTTTTACAGACGAGTTTTTGTGTATCTACAGAGCGAGGGTGGAAAGGTCTGAAGGACTCAACCCCGCAGGCTGCCAGGGCCTGGATGGGGGGCGGGGGAGAGGGCGCCCACGCTCACATTCGTGTCCTGACCCATCCTCCTGGACCTCAGAACACAGCGATGGGACTCAGGTGAGGCGCTGCCTCGCAGGGCTGGGCCTGTATCCGCGGGTGGTGTCTCACTGCTGCTGTGACATTCATGAGACAGAGTGGTTGGGTGACTGCCAGAAGACGTTGCTTTTCCTTCTCTCGTGTTCTTCAGCAGGCCCTGTATTTAACTGAGCTTTTCAAGTGAACTGTTGCAATTTGCTGCATTCTTACCATTAAGAGGTGGTGCAGTGCTTAACATCTGTTCTAGAGGGGTTCACTGTACCTGGTGTAGTTGCAACACTTTAGTCCAACAAATCCAAGTGATGTTACTTCTCTGACTCTTTCTCAATCTTATTCTTTTCTCTCCTTTTCTACCTCATTGTACCTCAACACACACACACACACACACACACACACACACACACACACACAGAGTTGAAAAGAGAGGGAAAAGAGAAAGAGAGGTGATGGGGAATTTGAGAATGCAGAAGGAAACAGGACAAGACGGCTTATAGCTCTCCAAGTGAGAGCGCGTGTTTTGAGGGGAGATCTCTTTTTAAATAGCAGCATCTTCAAACAAACGAGCTTCTTTGCAATTAGCATATTTACCTTCCTCCCTGCCTTCCCAAAGCATTTTCTTCTTCCCACCTATTGCCTCCTCTCACCAGAAAGCAGGAGCACAGAACACAGAAGATGTAGCCAAAATTGCAAAGTTGGAAAGTTAGCATTTTTAAGAAAACAGCTTTTGGAATATGTGTTTCTATATCTTAAATCCCATACCCTTCATATTTCAAGGATGTATGGGACAGTGGGCAGAATGGTTTTTCATACTTTACTTGTGATCCCACTGAAATTTGACTCTCTGAGTTTTCTTGAGGTACCACAGAGTAGAGAGCACAGTACAAGAGGGTATTGCGTTAGGGG